TCTTACAAAGATTTCTCTTACTCGGATGTTACGCTACCCACATGAACGTTCGTCCCATAAGCTTAGTATATTTTTATGAATTTTCTTTTGTTGATTTTCTAATTTAATATGCATTATTTTTAATATTTTAGTATTCAATAAAATAACTATCATTTTAAGAATCGTAGATGTTTCGCTTCAGCTAACGACATTTTTTATTAATTTAATAGATAAAAAATGTCGCAACTGCAACATTAAATTGTTTTTACTCGTAAACTAAACGCCGTTTTAAAAATATACGCCAATTGTTGAGCACCTGCCTTGCCTTTCATTTTTGATTGGGTATGGTCGCTACTCCGGGGTATAGTGCACTTCACATGTCTGAATTATTTTTGATTTCTAAAATGCAGGTGTGTTCAAAATGTTTTGCTTCTCTGATGAGCACGTGGTATGTAGAAATGTTATATTAGATTTCTTTATGTATTGTCAATGCAAACAACTTATAAGATCATTATAAACGTCTAATTTTACAACACATAAATATTAAACGACCCAACAAGTCGCTATTTAGTTATAGATGTCATTATTATGCTAATAAAAACCCAACCCAACCCAACTAGACCGTAGTGTGTGCTGTACTGAAGTATGCCAGTAAGAATTTTTATAAATTTCCTTATAGTAACGTTATAAGGTCAATGATTATATTACAGAAAGAATATTTTATCATAGAGCTACGTTGCAGCTATATAATGGTAACGAATGGGTCGGCTCGACCGGGGAAGGACCACGCTCTCATAGAATAACAGCGTTACATAACTGCTATGCTCAGTTTGATAGTGGTAACTAGGCACTGTTTGTTAGTCTTCAGGGTCTGACTGCGCGCACATCGACATTTTGATTCTTAATTGTGAAGAGATGTAGGTATATGTATGATATATAATGTCCACTTACCATCACGGCCGTGTGCCCGTTTGTCATCGAAAATGAAATATCCAAAAATATAAATCGGTCGTATCACAGACTCAGATTTGGTTCTTAAGTCTGGTATAAATATAGTATTTATATTGTTCTGCCATTCTTCGAATGCCGCAAGATTTTCCGACATTTTCAAGTCTCCTCTTTACCACGCCTCACGGTCGGTTTATAATACAAGATATTTTTTTCTTTCTATTTTATGTACATAACGCTTATCAATTAATAACCTCTAATTATACCAATAAGAATACATAAGTAATAACAACTATTTCGCCTAGTCTGTTTAATCAAATTTAAGTTACCAAATCAAAGAAAGTTTTTAACCTTTATCAAATCTCAGCTCTTTCCGCAAATTTAATCCTTAAGAATATAATTATAGATGTAACATTTAATAAGCGTGCGTTGTATGCGTGATGGATGTTCCATTCATCGATCACAAGAGTTAGGTACCTGTTACAATCTTAACAATTAATCAGGCTTACTCTGTTACATCTTACAGCGAGTGTTACGTACTCGCTATCAAGAATGTGCAATAGTGATGTCCGATTTTGAAAGAGGCTGCAGAGCGAGTAACAGCGTTGCAAAGATCGTGACTTACACGTTACCACAGGTACTTTTTATAAGAAAAAAGATTATTAACTATAAGTATTAAGTAATATTCTTTCTGTACGTAACTGGCTACTGAAGCCCATGAGCCACTAAGAACTACAATTGCAATGTTCCACAACCTGTTTTTATTCTTACTAAATACCATTAAAATCGAAAGACAAATTACCACACGTTTCTCAAAATAATAACATGACAAACGAGTACATAGTCCTAATGGTAAATGAATGCTGTAACCAGAAGACTATATCTATCCTCGACTAAGAATGAAAATGCAGATGGATTGTCATATCACACCTATGGACTAAGATGCAATGCTTTGTTATGAATGAAAAGGGTATTCTTAATGTAAATCCGAAACTAAAAAAAAATTGTCCGGTTAAAAGAAGCGAAAACTGGGTAATCTATTTCTTTAATTAGAGACTTTGACCTTTACATTTAATTACAGAAAAAATGAGTGTGTATTATGCATGGTACGCATTTTGCGATATCCATTTCTAAACAAACCAAATCCATTGTACAACGTTACACACTATACCTATTACTTTGAATGATGAATAATATAACAGTTCGTTCCGCTTAGAAATCGAATATCCGCTGATTCTTCGGCAGATTCGTGCACGCCGTACGTGCATATGAAGCAACCACTATTACCTCACCACTGAAATCGTAACCTTCCACCATATAACATATACGTTCACCTTTATCCCAGATGAATCAGATTTGTCCTAATTTCAAGATTACAATAATTAAACGCTTTTATTTAAAAACCAACAGGAGCGCATTTCCTTACCTTTAGATTTTTTTATATACTACTAGCTTGCCAGGCAGACGTTGTTCTGCCCTTTTCGACGACCCTTTGTCATGTTCTATTAAAAATGCTTAAATTAGCAAAAAAAAAAAATTGTGGGTCACTAAAAACTATCCTATCTCTGAAGTTGGACCAAACCGCACACGGTGTGCAAATTTGATTAAAATCGGTTAAGTGGTTTAAAAGTCCATCGCGGACAAACAACGTGACACGTAATATAAAAAAAATATATATATATATATATATATATTAAGATTTGACAGGTATAACAAATTACGTCTTATTTAACACACTCGTAAAATACAGATCAGCCGCATTTGCGAGCGTTCTCACATCTTACCGTTATAAATTATTAAAAGCCCACTACTAAAACATGGGTGTCCCCTACAGATTGTCTCATATGTATTTTATTTAGGGAGGTATTTGCCATAGTTTGCTTGGTAAGAGAGTTGGCAAATTCAGTTTTTTTTTTTTGTCTAGCTGTTATTAGTAAGACGCTACTGTCCATCTTCATGTTGGTTTCCTCTTACGACATCCACGGAGCGATATGTGTTAGTGAATATTCTTACAGCGCTGCCACACGGTGTCTCTCTTTTGTAATGTACCTAGTAATTAGTAACATTGTTAATCGAGTTCAAAAACCGGGAAGGTTTTATATTCAATTCGTACGTTCTCTATGTACGTTCATCGATTTTTCGCAAACGGCTGAACTGATTTAAATTATTTTCATTATTTAATAGGTTATACTTCAAAGGTGGTCCCATGCAAATTTAAAGAAAAACTTCCGTCCTTATGTGTATAGGAAAGACAGGACATTACTGAGATTTAGACAATGATATTACTAAGACGACTCAGAAGAGTAAAATAATGAAACTTTTAATGAAAAATACAAACCGACTTTAAAAAAAATATTCTATTCAAATAAGGGGGTCATTTTCATACTCATGAATAACCACTTTCGTGTACTTCTTTTGTCCGACAGACAAAAATGTTACTTGATGGAACTTCACAAACATAGAGTAATGAGAAGTGATTTAAACTATATTTTGTCCAAAAATCTTGACGATTTTTTGTCATAATAATAATAACTAGTCCTAAACAGCAAAACTACAAAAAATAATAATTTTATGTTAAGACCAGTAAAAGAGAAGTTAACCCAAAAAGCGCACCGAATGCCAGATTATTAAAGTACGAAACTCCGAACTGGAAATTACTCGATGGACGGACTGCATCACTATTCACTACTGACTGAAAAGATTCGTGGTGTGTTCGCCCGACAGTTTCAGATAGTTCCTGACCAGAAGTCGCTCTCAAGCCTCTACACTACTGGCTGTGCTACTGGCGTCATTATAGTAAATTGTATATAACTACTAAATAAAATACACTAACACCAGTTTTGAGCGCGAGAATCACACTAAATCTTGACTTACATTGGATGATGTCGCTGATTAGTCGATGTCGCGGCGGCGGAACCAATGATCCATTTCTCATTGACGCAGTCACTGGCAAGGTGGTTAACGACCAAAAATTAACTATGCGTATTCCATACCTGCTAAAGAGAGTCCAATTGTACAAGGTCGGTAGTATAGTTATAGAGATTTCCTGGTGCAGTGTATGAGACAGTGGAGTACGATCCGTTGTCATCTATGCAAGTAGATAACCTTATAAGAAAAGAAAAAAAAACCGGATAAGAAAGGATATCGTTCAGGGCGATTGCTTGAGCCCAATGGTTCTGCCTCTCTCACTACCTTACTGGAGGCCTCCAAGAGGAAATTTCAGCTTCGAAAAGGATAGATAGAATTACTCCATCTTTTCTATATGGATGATCTCAAGTTATTCGCCTCCAATCGCTCCCATCTTATGCAATTGCTGAACATCACTAACACGAATTTAGCAATTCTATCAGAATGGATCTTAGAACAGATGAGTGCTGTACCGCAAACTCTAAGGACATAAACTAACCTAACTATGCCCATCAACATAAGGACCTTATTTATTGAGAACTACTACCTAAACGTAATATACCTACCTTAATTTTTCATAAGACAACGGAATTCTGACGGTCTCTGAATAAGAACTGGGCTACATAATGTTGTGCGTTCGAATTCTATTTTCACTCAACAATCATGATCCATCCGATCCATCTTACCACAAGTATGCTATAAAGAAATTCTAATTTTAGGCATAGGGGTTCCCTATAAATTTTTTTTATAGGATAGGGTGACAAACGAGCACACAGACCATCCGATGGTAAGTGTTTGCTGTAATATGTGTATGCACCGGTGAGGACTAAGATGGAATGCCTCGTTTCCAGCAAAATGGGTCTCCAGTTCTCTACACTCACCATGCGAAACACAGTAGCCTTCCCAGGTCGAGCCAACCCATTCGTGCTACAGCTATAATACTAGTATAGCTGCAGCATAGCTCTACCACGTATAAATTACCAAACTATTCTCGAAAACTGCTGGGCAAATAAATTGTTAACATTTACAATGTAGACATCATAAATACATTAAATGTATACATTTTATAACCTAACGCTTAGAAAATCAAACCTAAAGTTTACACCCGAATAATAGTTTGGTACTCCTATAAACTATTTATTTTTTAATCATCCATGCTTACTTACTTGTGAATCACCTATTAGAACATATAGTCTAACTACTAACACACAGCACTGCTTTAGATAAATATCTCGATTCACAAAACTTGCGACGGGGACGAAAAGCTCTTTGAATTTTTATTTATTCGGTTGTCATGGCAACTTTAATCTCAAGTAGAATGGCGTTCTGTGCGCGCGCGCCGCTGTGTACGAACGCAGACTGGCTGCACTTACCGCGGCCAACGACCACCACCGCGAGTCTTCAGAAAGCGAGAGGAAGAGCAGGCTCCAAGCCTGTTTCTTTGTGCGAGGACAAACGCGTTTCCATTAATCCGATATTGACTCGTTAATACAGTCAATAGAATATATTCGTTTTGAGGTTCTGCTGTCAAAAAAACCTTTATAATCTCTATTTGTCTGACCGACCTAATGCGTCACATAGCTTCACCTAATGAATAACACGTCATAACTTTGAGTCTACTACTAGAATTAAATAAACTTTTGTATGCAGTATATTCTTTTAAAATAGACCACATAGGTTACAAACATAGGCATATAAAGTACAAATAGATATAAAGTACAAATGAATACCTTTAAATAATAAAGCCGTTGTATCCATTTCTCATCTCCCCTAAACCCTCATTATTCAAAAAAATGAAACAAAGTACGGCCTACATCTATCTATCCTACAGCTGAGCATGGGCCTGTCCTCCTGATGATTCAAGGCGCTACTTCAATGCGCAGTGGCGGACTTCACATGTCATAGAATATTTTATTTCTCAAACATGCAGTTTTAATTCACCGCCGATGATGTAGTGAGTCGAATTAGAATTCCTCGTTCCTTCACTTTTGCTCTTATACAAATGAATCTAAAGAAGAAGTAATAAAAGGAGCAGATAAAAAGTGAAGAGATAAGAACATGAAGTGTACAGTAATCCAGTCGCAAAATCTCCATTTAGCTGCGGAACCTTACGCGTATCCCAACACTCAATTTGCCTAGTTTAACATGAATTATCTCATCATCACAATACATACATATTTTTATAATGTTGTACATCATAAAAGTATGCGGCGTACTCAAAAAAATTCTACGACCTTCCCCTGGAGACGTCAAATTAAAATTTTATGAATAGCATCTAAGTGGTATTAAAGGCTAGTACATCTAAATACAGCTTAACTAATACCAATATACTTCTAGCCTTGCCAATTTAATAGAAAATGAATAGACATCTAATTATTTTTATTACTGTACAGTATTAAAATAAAAAACATTTTTCAATTCCTTAAAATTTTACTCAATACTTGATTATTTGTAACACGATTACATTATGTTTCAAAGAATACAGAGTAAATAATACACAGAAACTGACGGAATAACTATAAAAACAAAAAAAAATAGTATCTAGGCTACATATGTAACATATAGCAAATGATATACTATTTTAAGGCCTTAACATAAAATTACTATTATAATTTAAAAATAACCCATTTCATACAAAAAAGTTCCCGTTTAGGGCAGATCTTAAAAATATACCAATAGGGTTAATGTTAATGAAATGGCTTTCAGGTTACTACATAAATGATGACTACAAGAAAATTATAATATTGCATTTTTTAATACAAGCTAAATAACTATGCGTGTTCATTAAAACATTACATGGGGTATAATCCAGATACGAAATAATTACAATTTAATTAATTATAAAACAAATGATATGATGTATTCTTGTAGCGCTCTGCACAGGTGTGCGATTCGCGGTTTTTATTACAGACCTAAAGCTAAGTATTGTCACTTTTATAGGCCTTTTTTGTTGTCATTTTAATTATTTTGCGATTCGTTCAAAATCCTATATTTTAACTACTGCAAAAAGTTTAAAATAACATTTAACGTAACAATACTATGCCATAAATCCGCACACTAATAAGTAAAACTAAATTAAACAAAACGTAAACACTTTGAAAAGTCTAAAGTAACAGAAAACAGGGCCTTAGTTACCACCAGGCAAAATGTTAGTAAGTCTGAAAGCTTCTAATATAATTATAATTAAACTTGTAAACATTAAAAAAATTACTTAGTACAGTATATTTGAAAGCAATTTATTGTGATTATTGTAACTTAATACACAATTTACATTACTAATAAGCAATATGCATAATATGAAATATTAATGTACTAAATATTATTAGAAAAAATAGCACCAATTTGATATCTACACACAAATCATTTCTAAACAGTGTTAACCACTTGATCAAAACATTTTGCAACAAACCGTTCTCTTTCATCCAACTTTTTATCATTACTGCTCACATGACGCGTGAGCATAGCATCCTGCAACGCACTCAGTGCTTCAGAAGTGAACTTCTTCCCTTTGAGATGAGTAATTACTGATGCCTCCCCATGGAATCCAGATTCAACTAATCCAGGTGGAATATGAAGTGTCACATCACTTATTAAACCTTTTTCCACAGTCATGTTTATTACTAGTTCTTGAGTGGCGGCGTAGATTCTTGTTGGGACAAGCAGTTCGGCAGGTACGGGGAATGTACGGCTAACTGTGAAAACAGGCGTTCTACCGTAACACCAATCCCAACTTTGTAATTCCTCCCGTAATTTTGCCAGACCTGTTGTGATAAATTATTTCAATAAGCTTAAATACATATATAATACAAAAACAAACAATTTTTTTAATATTTTCTGATGACACCAATTCTGTAACCATTACAAGCTATCAAAAGTCCACTGCCGAACTTAGGCCTCCCCGTAATTTTGCCACAATTTCAATGCTTGGCAGGTGTGATGACAACTGCAGTTTTTTATATTATATTAGTCGTTATAAGGAAGACACTGCTGCCCTGCCAATAGAGGCTGACCGGGGTGATGTTTAATTAAACCTGACGCCTGGGACCATTCCTTGCCCCCAGCTCTTGATATGCCACCAATCAGCAACAAGTAAATATTCTCTTCCTTCATTACCAGTCTGTAAAAATCGACTGCTTGAGATGGGCCTTGCACATCGCAGGCAAGATTTCACCTTAGTCATCATGTTTGGCAGACAAATGATAATTACAGAACCAGATGTGCCTGTCATCAGTCTGCGTATTTATCGTCCGCCCTAAACAGATGATTATCTATCTATAGGAATCTAAAAGATTTTTCTGGCATTCCTCATAGTCGCCTCTTGCCACACTCATAGGACAACATGGGGTTTTTTTTATATAGAATAAGAGTGACAAACTAGCACACAGTCCACCTGATGGTAAGTGGATGTTGTGGCCCATAGACATGTACATTTAATCTCGATTAAGAATCAAAATGCAAAGGCGCTGTCACCCCTGAGAGCTAAGATGGAATACCTCGATTCCAGTAAAACGGGTCTCCAGTTCTTTACATTCACCATACGAAACACAGCAGCATTAAGCAGCATTCTATGCTGGTATTCTATAAGAGCGTGGTCCTTCCCCAGTCGAGATGTACCATTCATAATACAACCATAATATAGCAGCAGTGTGGCCTCATCCATGTATAAAATAATGGATAATCTACCACATAAAAAGAATTAACATTACCATCAGACAGTAAGATATTATAATAGTTACAAATAAACAAGCCTTATCTTTAGCACTGGACTTTAAACTGTAACAGTAATTGTAAACAAGCCTTATCTAACATTTACTAAGTAAATACTCTTTTGGCATAGTAATTAAAATATTTAGTTTTAACAATTGGTAAATTCAATGTTACCTGGGAACCAATCATCGGTGGGGTTTATAAACTGGAAGCCCCTCTGTTTCATAATCAAATCTTGCCCGCCATCTTCAATGTTGAGGGCAGGAGTACGAAGATACTCATAACCAACTGCAGTCTGCAAGCCTTCCACTGTAATCTTGTTATCCAGGTCAGCCAGATTTGCAACAGGAGAGCGAGTAGACTCCGTCGCCTTTGTCTGTATGCCATGCTAAATAGAATTATGTGCCCTTATCAACATGTTTATGATTGGAAGAAGGTTGGGAAAGGTTGGGTTAATGTCAGTACAGCAGATTAAGTTAGTAAGGATTAATAAAAGTTAATAAATCACTATTCTAATCAGAAACTTTGATAAATCTTACACAATTAATTGTTTTAACTTTAACAGTGACTTGTATGATTTTAATAAAATATTAAGCAAAACCTAAGTGGATGTGCAGAGGAGTGAAGTACAGATAAATAATGGTTAGGGCATTAAAATTAATGGTAAATTTTTGTTGAAATAAAATTAATGATTAAAATGTAGAGATAGATTCAATGAAACAAAGGAAAACAAAAGAATTACATAACAAATATATTGTAAATGTTACACTTGTACTTTGTGCTTACCTCACGCTTTGCTAGAGCTTTGCTGAGATCAGCCTTGTTGGCATTGACCAGAAGTGTACAATGATGATAAGCTGTTAACCGTCCCAATTTTGCTGCAGTTCCAGAAATCTAAGTTTTCTATTAAGGAAGTATACAGACAAATGCAATAGAATATTAATAAATATTTTGCAAATTTAACATTTTATAAAAAAAAACTTTTAGAACCATTTCTAAGTATGAAGAAAAATATTAATTACATAACATTTCACTTTGATTTTTAAAGGATACTTTATACTTATCTCGAACCACAATGTCATCACGCTTGTTAATTACAGAATTAATTCCAAATCCTCTGAATAATGCTCTTTTAATGAGTTCCAAATTATATTTTCTGTCATATCTTTCTCGAGGTGTAAAAAATGTAATGTTAAGATTTCCACGGTCATGGTAAACAGTACCACCACCACTGTTGCGTCGAGCTAAAGCAATTTCCTTCTCAGATAATTGAGCAATATTAGCTTCTAACCATGGATTTTGGTGTCGGCCAATTACAACACAAGGCTCGTTTTTCCATACCATCATAATATGGTGATTTGTGAAATCCATATTACGATACATCCAGTCTTCCAGAGCCAAATTAGTATAAATATCAGTGGATTGTGACATAAACACTGATTTAGTGACATCAGCCTCTGATGGCAACTCTCTTTCTTTCTTTTTCAAAGACATCTTATTACTGTTTGTTACAAGGTTGCGAGAGCTACTTCTTCTTATCACTCCCACCACAACACATGCTCCACTCAACCCAATTTTTCTCATCATTGTTTGGGCCATATTAAATATTTATTTTTAGTTATGAATAAATAACGGGTACTTTTCTGTATGAACCTTGGAAAGGCAGTGTTTTAAGTGTAAGTTTCTAAAATTACAATATACTATGGTTTACAAATTATGCAAAAAACTATTTAAAAGTCCAACTATAAATTACTAATGCATATAGCAACAAGCGTCAGTGTCAGCTGATGATAGAGAGATCAAATATTCATGAAGTGCAATGGTCTGGTGCAGCCACTTCCAGGTTTGGTGCAGGGTGTTAATTCGAAAACGAATTCCCAAACAGTCGCGACAGTCACTTGGCATTCCTCCTCTTGGATTCAAGATGAACACAAAAATCACTAAACAACTTAATCAATACAAAATTACTTCAACACAATAACTATGTCAAAATGTCCGTGAAATCTTTAAACAATAAGTTTTAAACTAGTTTTAGAACCGTGCACAAACGCGTTTCGTTGTCTAATGAGTTGAATTACCTTCTGTCGTCTCATTTTATGTACACTGATAATGATAAGCGTGCCGGAGAACTGTGAGGTCAAGCGAGGGCATTCGAAGTTCAATCTAAGACAAGCAAACAAACAACTTGATAAGCACGAATCAGCCACGCGTACAACTTTAACAGCACACTACTAAAAAAGTACTCTGTGCACACTACACACCACAAACACAAAACCAACACATACTCCCTACCACTCCCTACGCACTACGTTAGTACTCTTATTAGTTTGTGCTACGCACTTTTATGTCTATAATGAATAAGTCCAAGAGTATAAGATTATATAAAATATCGAACGTAGTACATTTACTTAAGTATTTTCATAGTACGAAACCAACATTATTTATTACAATTCGTAACAAAATAAATGTTTATTGATCAATTCTGTAGCTTACGTAATAGAAAATTTTTAATTTCCAACATTTAGAGAAATCCTTGCATATAACTTCTCCATTTTTTCATTTTTATTAGAGAGAGTACCTACTTCATAGAATACTGTATAAAAATTCTTTTCATGTTCATTTTGATAAATTAGATATGCGTATAAGTTCATAAAATACCAGTAAAAACTGGTTATAGAAAGAACAGTTGTTCACTGGTTTAACCGAAACCGATCTGATAATATTTAAAAATACGCTAATGCAAATCAACTATTTTTTTTCCTAGTTTGGCAATACCAATGGATTCTGCCAGGGTCAACAACTTCAAAAAATTCACAGTTTATTAGACTACGAAATATGCGTAGAATGATGAAATTAATATAAAAATGGATAGACATGACAAAATTACTATAATTAAATGTTACTAATGGACATGAAATCAAATTAAATGTGTACAAAAGAAATAAAAGCTAAACATAACATAGACTTAAAATTAATAGGATGGATTATGTTACTAGTAAGAAAATTTTACGAATATGAGAGGCTATGGCAACTAAAATATTTAAAGGGCTCTATAACGCCGGTGTGGCAGCGTGATACCAAACCTAAATCATGCTATCAAAGTTTCCGAAGAAGTTCAGTATTTAGTAAAATAGCTCCATTTCACCACACGGAGCATTGGCCACTTCAGAGGCTGAACACCTTGCCCTAGGGGAGATCTCCCTTTTTCTTTCCACGGCCACTTTGTTACAAGGGTAAGAGCTATAAACATCATAAATTCAAAGGGTATCAAAACTGTTTCTCACGTAATAATATCATCCGTAATTAAACGCGTCATATATTGAACTAACCCTTTTTTAACTTGGTTAAAATGCAATTAATATAATATTTTCATTAAAAAAGGTCTCTGAGTGAATCCCTTGTTCTTGTATTATGCATGGCAAGAATAACTTATTTCTGTAGTAAAGTAATACAAAGTATCATTATAATAGGTTCTTACATATGAAATTGGCTAGTGGTATTTTTTCCTTGTAAGAAGTTGTCCGAATTCCGGAAAAATGGTAATCTGTTGGAGCAAGGTCCGGAGAGTACAGTGGATGTCGAAGATATTCCAATTAAAGCTCATCTAAGTTAGTGGTTGTTTGTTGTGCAGTGTGTAGTCTTGCCCTACTACATAATTCGTTGTTCAGCAGCTAGTTCTTCCTTCATGGTTTGCAGTTGCTGACAAAAAATATCTGCCGTAATCGTTTGGCCAGATTTTAGAAAGCTGTAGTGAACGACACCGGTGCTAGTCCACCAAACACTACTTTTTTGAGTCAATTTTCGTTTAGGGCAGGATTTGGCTGGGTCTCCAGGGTTCAGCCATTGCGACGAGCGCTTCCAATTATCGTACAGTATTCACTTTTCATCACAAGTAATGATTCGATTTAAAATCCCTTCATTTTTGTGTCGGTTGAGCAAAGTAACATAGCAGTCGACGCATGTTAGCAAGTTCGATTCACTCAATGAATCAGGTTACCCATCGTTCAAGTTTTTTTACTTTCCCGATTTGCTTCAAGTGGATTAGTACAGTTTTATCACTTACCCCGAAGCCTGTAACTATCTTTGAAGTGCTTTGTGATGGATCCGCTTCCACAATAGCCTTTAAAGTAAAGTTACAGCCTATATACGTCCCACTGCTGGACACAGGCCTCCTCTCATTTCTGAGAGGGTTTTAGGGCAAGGAATAGTCCGCCGCGCTGCGCCAATGCGTGTTGGCGAACTTCACATGTCTTCGAAATATTTTTTAACTTATTCCTTAGACATGCAGGTTTCCTCACGATGTTTTCCTTCACCGCCGAGCACGTGGTAAATCAGCACTTAAAATTGCAATTAACAATTTCATTGGTGCCGGCGGGGATCGAACCCGGTTTGCTCGCGTATTGTGAAATTTATAGCGAGCGCTAACCATCTGAGCTACCACAATAGCCTTAATAGCCTTTCATTCTTTATTATCCACTTTGGTCTCCGGCCGTCTACGGGGTTGGTTCGGAAGGTCGAAATTTCCAAAACGAAAACGTTGAAACCAAAAACGTACCGTGCTTTCTTTTGCGACATCAGCGCCGTACACGTCATTAATCCTTCAAGCTGTTTCTGCAACACTAGTGCCACGCTAGAACTCGTACTCGTAAATATACTGATTTCATGTTTTCCATTGTGGGGTAATAAGCGACGCCAAAGAAAAAAATAATGGGGAAAACACAAATGAATGACTGTTTTCAAAACTCAAATGTACCATCTAAAGGTATTTATAAATTTGAATTTGGAATTCTGAACCAAAGATTTGATATTTCAGATCAAAGTAGTTAATACGACAAACGCTAATTTCATATGTAAGGACCTAATATTTATATCGTAAATTTTTTACCGATGACTTTAGCGGTTTACTTACCGATTTTTAAGAAAATTTATTCATATATCAGCGGAAATTAATTTTCCATCCGGTACACATCACTAAAACAATCAGGTCTGCCCTTAGAGTATACATAAGCAAGCTGTAGCGCGTGTTAGAGTGTATGAACGGTAAGTACGGGCATAAACAGCTCGAAATTGCAAGAGCGACGTTATGAAACACAAAAGGACACTCACGCTGATGTTTCTCTCACCGCTATTTACTTGAATTTTTTAAACGTTACATCCACACTAGAATTTTCGCATGTACTGTGGGAGCAGTTTACATAAAATCTGTTTGTTTAGATACCTACGTGTAGCGCCGCCTCGGCACGTGCCGCATCTAGTCAAAGACTAATGGTGGTTAATATAGCGCATGGCGCCATATTATAGCGCGCTATCTCTCTATAACACATAGCGCGTGCTATGTAAGTAGTCACCATGGCACTATTGCGCTATGTTGCTTTGGCGCTACTAAGTATTAATGTATTAATATCTAGTGGCAACTATCCCACCTTTTAGATACATTTTCTATGAGCTATTCATCGCCCACATCTTTTTTTTTACTTTTTATTTGTGTATACTGTATATTTATAAGTGATCGAAGGACACAGTTGTCTGCTATAAGAAGCTAACATTTTTAAATTATATATAGTGATGTAAATAGTTGATTTTTGTAAATACAATCAATAAACTTTTAAACACTATTATATTATATAACAAACAACTCCCACAAGTTCAAGTTACAGTTCTTCCTCTTATAATAATATACTTTTATTTTATTGTACACCACAAACAAATATACAGATAACAAAACAAAAAGCAGATTATAATATTATGTAAGTACAATTTGGCGGCCTTATCGCTACATAGCGATCTCTTTCAGGCAACCAAAGTTGTAAGGATTAGAACGATGAAAAACTAGGTAGGTGGTGCAATATAAATATACATAATATAATATTAATACATGCGATTTATAGACAATACATGCAATAAAATAACATAGAAATAACTAATACATGAAATTATATAAATTGCTAAAATATAATAAAAATAAAGTAAAACATATAATATACACACATGCATACATACATATATATAAATATATGAACAAACTTACACAATTACCCATAAATATATATAAAATTAATAATATATAGCAAAATTCCTCAAACAATAATATAAAGAAGATAAATGCAATAGATACATAATATCTATTAATAGAATATAATAGAAATATGGTCAAATTTGCGCAATCCAAATATGAACCGAATACTAGTGTTTTAAAGTATCTCAAGCTTATTTAGCTGGTCCTCAGTTATGTCTACATAGCTTGCGTCAGCATAGTCGAGAATCGGAAGGAGAAGAGACTGTGCAAGCATAATTTTTGTAGGAATGGGAAGAAATGATCGAAGGCGATGCAGAGAACACAGAGCGACAAAGGTTTTCTTACTTATCTCATTCAATTGGCGTATCCAATTTAAGGAATTATCGAGATAAATACCAAGATTTTTGACTTCTTTTATTGTTATCTTGGGGTATGAAATATGATTTTTCAAAATGTTCGGAGCAAATGGATTCATGGTTTCTACAGGCTTCAATCCAAGTTTGCCGCCTAAAAGGATCTCTTGTAAATCTGTAAAAACAAACCAATAATAGAAAAATTTACTACTTTTTTAAAACTATTATGA